GGGCAAGTGAAGTGTCCCAACACAGAGGCAGAAAAGTCTTCAGAATTCCAGAAAAATCTATAGAAAACCAGGCTAAACGGGACTGTCTGGCACAGAGCACGCATTTATTGAGAAGCCGTGAGATTAAAAGTTGAATAAGCAGAGGAGCGACTTGGCCTGGACAGCAACACCAACAGAAACGGAAAGCTGGGCTGCTGAAATAACAACACAGCCGAATGCACAAAGTACAGATGCCTGAAAGGCCTGTTTTTATACCCCCTGTCTACAAACAGGAGAATGCAAAGCCAGCCGTACTCTGGTGTATGTCGAGTCTTATCACATCTGCATTTGAAATGAGTGAATGACCATGCTTTCGACAATGCTCTCTAATCGGTTGTTCTTTGCCTGCTTAATCCTTCATGTTTTTTTTTTTTTGTTTTAATTTTTTTTTTTTTTGCTTTAATATGCCATGACATGAACACTCAATTCTGTTAACTTGCAATATTACTGAGGATTGATCGAATACATTTTATACCAAAGAAGACAACACAAGCACGCAAACACATACACACATCTGTAACTCGCTTAGCTGTTTGAAATCCTGGCTCTTCCATCTCCTTTTTTTGGATTTTTTTTAAAGGCTCCCTTAGGGTGACGGGATCAGGGTCCGTACTATTTCTGTGGGGAGACAGGGGGCTCTGTCTCTGGCCCTCCAAGGTACTGGCTACAATTGGGGTCCCCTCTCACCATGGGCGACGCTGGGATCTGCCGTCCGGTGTGGGGATTGACACACCAGCATTCACCCCTCTGTCCATGCACCGACATCTTGCACTAAAATACACAACACGGGATGTGGAGATCAGTGAGGAATATTATCATTTAGGGGGAGGGGCCTGGTGGGGGGGCGGGGCTCGGGTGTCATGTTACACTAACAACATCTGATATTTGGTTCATTTGTAAGGGCATACTCTGTCGCCCCCCACTGAGTGCCGAGAAAATGAGGTCACAATAGATTGGGATACACTTCAATCCAGTGGGAGCCAAATGTGCAAAAAATTGTTTTTTTCCCTCAACGACAAAGAACAAAAAGTGACAGTTATAGTAATTAGAGAGTGTCTTTGGAAACAGCCTGCACATCAAAATAACAAAGCACTTCACTCATTTCACTGGGCTGTTGTCCTTGTTTCACTTTAAATAAAAGAAGCTAAATTTAATTACTGTCTCATACTACATCTTTCTGATTTTAAAAGTAATTCAACTAGTGAAAAAGTTATGCAAGATATTTCCTTTGTCATTTTTTATGTTTATTTTCATTCATGATAACTCCAGAAGCACATATTGCATGGTTTTCATTATCTGTATAAAGTTTGAATCTTTAGAATCCTGCTATAATTATTTAGTGTGAAATTGTTTTTATTTAGTTAGTAGGGACAACACCTAACTAGTGTTACTGACCCAAATGTGTAAGACCAAAGGCTTAGGCAGGACCCAGGACCTTACCTGCTTCAGGTTGTACTGCCCCCTCTTGTCACAATTGGGAATGTGCAGGGAATACAGATCTTCCAGGGGGCCCCTGTTCTCACTGAAGGGCATTTTGGAGATCCGCTCCAACACCTGGTCCAGCTCCTGTTGACACTGGCTCTGTGGACCCAAATCAAGTGGTCAGGACTGGTTCCAGGGAGTCACCTAGTGTGCAGTGGTTCTCAACGGGGGGGCACAGCCCACTAGGGGGCCTCAACAAAGACCAAGGGGAGAGGCAACATGATTTATTCAAAAAGCATGGAAAAAAATCCAACATTGCTCAAGCTATGGCGGGGCAGTAGTCAGTTTATCAATATATTTTTTAAACCTGTTATCCATATACTTTAATCCTGAGTTAAAAGTAGGGGTTTATTGAAGATCTTTAATTGACACCAACGGTATTCTTCCCCGGTTGCACACTGTATGACAGCTTCGTTCTTGGGGTTACACTGAATCCCAGAATTCATAGCTAAATTCAAACCATTCAGTTAGCAACATCTCACAGAGAAGCTGATGGAGGGGAAAGGTGAGGAATCACTGTGACTTGGTTCATTTTGTGTCACTCATTGTTAAAAAATAATGGAAGTTGCAATAGATCTTCTATTTTGTTGAAGGCCAATACCTTAAAATTAGGGTCGTTTTAGTTCTTATGCACGTTTAATGGTTGTCAAGCTTCTGATTTTAGAGCCATTTGCCAAATACCGTTTAGATGTAAATATTTGTTTTATCTTCTGTTTTGAGAGTAATGTCATAAACTGAGAAAAAATGAATGTCGTGGACACAGTGGAGTGATTTTTTTTTGGGTTACATTCAAAGGAAATTACTTAGTTTGGCTGCAAAACCAAATTATAATGTGTTTATATTAATAAACTGGCAATATTTCTCATCACTGCAGAATGCATACAAGAAACAGGAAAGGTTGAGAACCACTGCCCTAGGGGATTTGGCCCCCTGCTCCATGTGGCGAGACCCCCTTCATCAAAGAGGCCCTCTGACAGAGGCTGCTCTCCGCTTGGATCAGGATGAGAGATTGCCCGGCTCTGGGCAGCTGCCAGGACCTCATCCATATCACACGGATGGAAAGCACCCAATCGCGTCGCCGTGTTGCACGGCCGCTTCCAGACGTGATGTAATCTGACATGCTATGAAAACTCACAAAAAGTCCTATTAAGATTTCATGACATACTGTCTAATGGATGTCTGTAATTTATGGAAACCCTTCCCCTGAAAAAGGGGAAAAAATTATTTTTGGGTTACCCTACTTGGCATCTGCTCATTTCACCATACTCATTATTATTAATGTTGGTACGTGCTAATAGTCACTCATGTACTTTTTTGTGTGGGAAAATCTTCAAAAAAAATTTAGCAGGTCGGAGCATTTGCAGATTCCATACAAGGATTACAGTGCATTTCTAGCTAGTCTGAACTAGCTTCAAAATCAATATTCACAGGTGGTGATTAGCAAAGAAAACCATTACTTGACAAGGTTTAACGCTGCCCTGCTGTAAAAGAACAAGTTAACAATTTTGTTATAAATTAATTGGAAGATTTTATGTTCTGCCAGTTATGTAGCTCTTAAAAACCTCATTTTGTTAGGTGTTAAAGGCAACAAAATTGGGATACGTAACCGGAAAACTACAGAACACAATCCTGGAAATTTTAATGGTAATGGAAGCATTTAGCATGAATGTTTCGCTGCAACAGATTTTTCCAATACCCAAAGCCTGGATATTTGCCTATAGCTCTTTTTGAAGCATAGAGCTGCTTCGGGAGTTGAGTGGTTACCCAACATTCATGTGTGTATGTAAACAACACCAGAAGAGGGCACTGGTGTGCTAGATTATTGCAGGTCTTAGTCAGGGGTAACCTTGGCATTTGATACATGTATAAAGGCTTCTTCAACCAATGCTGGCTACAAAGAAGCTTCTACTTCAAAAGTCATCTTCAGCTGAAGGACTGTCCCCTATAGCTGACCCCACGGGCGATCTCACTGAATGTGGACTCACCAGCTTTACGGGAGGAATTTTGACTTCTTCTGCCCTGTTGGATTTCATTTTGGTCTTCAGCTCCTGTCGGTGGTGCCGGACTGCGTTCTTCTTGGGGTCGTCTTTGGTGGGCCTCCTCTCAGATGAGCCCTCCGTCAGGCTGATCACGGATTGGTCCAGCACTTCCCCTGCTGGGCATCCAAGCATAATGTCAGACTAAAGCATCAAAAGGAAGCATTGAGGCTGGCATATGTCTGGGTAGAAGACCATGTGCTGGCTCGTCTCATACAATCAGCATTTTGTTAGGCAGATAGAACAATGGGATTGGAGGATAGGTCACATGACCTATCCTACAGTACATATGCACTGAGGTGCTGTAATTTGTCAGATAAGCTAACATTCAAAAACAGAAATACCTGAAAGAATGATACAAAAAAAAGTTACATCTATCCAGCCTTTTCCCCTCCCCTTATGCAGTACAGGGTCTTGGACGTCTTAAATCCACCATGTGTCCCTAGATTTTGACAGGACCCTTAAAGTTAATACAACATCCCTAGCATCTGCACAGGAAAGCAGATAAGGACACCGTAAAATCCAAAAAGTTTAAACATTGACAAACACAACCTTCCTGTCATCCCTATCAAGGCTGCTTTTTATTTGTATTTTTTGCAGAGCCATGCTGGAGAAATCGTTTTTGGGATTTTGGGGGGGGGGGGGGGGGGGGGTGTACTCATGTGACCCACCAATGTTTCCTTTGCTTTATCTACCCTTCCTGAATGAGCACGTTCCTCAGAAGGTGACAGGAATGCTTGAGATGGCAGTGTATTGACGCATACATACAAATCACCTCAGTTCACCTTACGTGCTTTTGGACTGAGATATGAAACATATACACACAGTCACCTTAAGAAAAAAACTAAAGGAAAAATGAAATGCTACAATTTAGATATTTAATGAAGAAGATTATTTCAAGTGTTGGCTAAAGAAACACTATTTATTATAGCATATATTACTTTAGTTCCCAGTTATCAATAATTCACAAATGTATGCTCATGTATAGTGCATTATATATACCTTCAAAATGCAGTATGATACATTGATAAAGATTTATAAACATGGCTATGACTATTTATAGAAAGACATAACCCATATCATTATATTGCATATTATATTATATACCATATATTATTATGCATTATGAATGCTTTATGAAGCTCTCATCTATAATGCACCATCATAATGCATTATAATGGCTTACACTGACCAGGGATGAAGGTAGCTATAATCCATTATGATGACTGGTTTAAGTAAAGTATTACCATAGGCTTTAATAACTGATGCCAATCAATGCGTTTCTTAACCTGAACTTTACCTGTAGACTCATTCATATTTTCCCAACATGTAACACTCGGTTTGTTAGCTTACGAAGGATCACTGTACCTGCAGTACTTGAAAAACATATCATCATAAACACCAGCTGTTACCTGTCTTTTGAAATTCTTAGCTAGGTGAAGCATTACATTACTATTCAGGAGAAATTTCAGTAACACAGTACTTAAGCCCATGCTTTTAGTAATTTATAAACACATTCATAACAAATAATGATGTATTTATATATCATTATAAGCATGGCTATAACTATTCATCAAAGGGCATAACACATTATACCCATGTGCATTATGGATTATGAATGCTATAGATACCTTCATAATTCATTATAATGGTTGGTTTAATAATTAAGGGTGCTTTTGTATTGCATTATAAAGGTGCATTATAGATGAAACATGGTTATAATGTGTTGTGCATTTTTATAAATATTTATAGCCATGTTTATGATGCTTTATTAATGCATTATAATGCATTATGAATGTATTTATAAATGACAAAAAACATGGGCTTAAGGAAAGTGTTACCGAGATTTCATATTGTTTCAAACTAAAGCAGATGCTGTCATAACTGAAAATCGCTACATATTTCAAATATGAGGCTTGCCGATAGTGGACTCACACCTACAATCATATTTTTCATATAAAGATATTTGTAGCTGAGTGCTTTTCAGTGGAGAAGTTTTAGCTGAAGGCCTTGCTTCGCTGGTTAGGTGTCTCCAAAGCCACATCCTCCATCAGTGCTTTTTCCTGTCTCGCTTTAGTGACAGACCTCAGAGGAGAATAGGGAGAAGCTGAGGTAATGAAACTTCCACCAACAAAGAACCCCACACAGTAATTGAGATGCCTTGCACGATGTCATGTATGGCTCTTAAAACAGCCTGACGCATTGTTCGCCCCAACCCCCATCTGGTGCTCTACTGTTTGACATCCAACTAAACATGAAAGGACTAAGAATAGTGCTTGCTTCCTTAAGCGACTTTCTCCAGGACCCCCTTCATGGTGCAGCCAGCACCTGGCATTACACTGCATCCTAAGAATCTGTGCTTCTGCATCTCCACGCCTGCCTGGACACCTCCAGGTCCAGCTGGCTTGCTCCAAAATCAAGTGCTGTCCAGGCACAGGAGGAACTGAAAGCTTGGCCATTCCAGTTGGCGGCGTCACAATGACAGATGTAGTCTGCAGAGGGAAGAAACTTATACAAATATATTCCATGTTCTACTAAACATGATGAAAAACAACTTCAATACATAGACAAAAAAAGCCTCAACTCTCAAGGTATGTTTCAAGCCTGCGTTTTTGTCATTATGCTGCTCTGAGGCCACAGAGGGCACCCCCCTTCAATCCCACCCCACCCCCACCCTCCTAAATTCCCTGCAGCCCTGCCCCCGGCCGCTTTTCCCACTGAGGCACAGCTCAGACATGAGAACACTTGCACGAACTTCAATTCCTTGAAAGTATAAACACTGACGGAATCAGCTTTGTACCATCCCTATGAACTCTACCATCAAAAAGAAGGGACAGGGGCTGGGGTGGACAGAAGGGTTGTTTTTCCACAAATGGGGTAGAGGTCAAGTGTGCTGGGAGAAAATGTTATGGCAGAAAAATACTGACCCTGGAGCAGTTTACTAGGACTACGTAGATGCCTGCTTATGTAAGATCGGGTCTTTTCAGGACCCAACCCAACAAAGAGATGCAAAAAATAAAAATTGAACGTACAGCTGTTTCCTTACGCTAGTGCTCCAGTTAAATGTCCACTATTGCTCAAGTTCTTTCACTAACCGTTAAATTGGAATACCGCTGTGATTGGCAGACGTCCAGAAGCCCTAGCACCAGTTTGTCGGTGCTTGGTGTACCAGCTATTACAGGGTTTGGCTGAGCCTGAAGCACTTCAGGGTGACTTTCGGGTGGGTCAAGTGGCTCGACCCAAGAGCACCATGTCCTTATCTGCATTTACAATGGCCATGTTTACGACATCTAAGGCAGAAGGGGGATAGGCGGGAGACACGGTTGAAGGTCATATCAACTGAAATTCATTAATCACAAGAAAACTCTTGAGTTCCTGTGGCAAAAAAGTATACTTCAAGCTGAATGAGTACTTAAAAAGAGCCCAGGAGCATGATACTGGAGCACAGAGAGGTGGATAATCCCATAGAAACGCTATAATAAATTACACTGCATGAACCACAAAACTATGGAGATTTTAACATACAACTAAACAGGACTGTATTTCAAACCACAGCAAAGGCTCGTATAATGGATTTTTAAGAGCATCAAAACTCATCAACTTATGGATTGGTATAGATACACAAGGCCAACTCATGCCTCTGGTATCCTTTGATGCACTACAATATCAGTCAAAAGTCTAGACACGCCAAACCGCATACAAAGGAGAGTGATAGTGTCACATCACATGACCTGGCCGCCTAACCTAAACACAGTAGAGATGGTTTTTTAAAGTTTCGAGTTTGACCAGAGAGTGAAGGAAAAGCAGCCAATGAGTGCTCAGCATATGTGGGACCTCCTTCAGGACGGCTGGACAAGCATCCCAGGAGGCCGCCTCATGGAACTGGCATAGAGGAGAAATCAGGGTCAGCCAGTCCCTGCAGCAAATGGGGTTAAGGGTCTTGCTCAAGGGCCCAATGGTGGGGTTACTCTGCCAACCACAGAATTTGAACCACAGTCTCCTGAGTCCCAATCCACAGAGCCCCCCCCCCCCCAACATTTTTTTTACTTTGTTTCTGGTCCTTGCATGATCCATATATGTTATTTCAGAGTTTTTATGTTTGTATAATTATCCTAAAATTTATAGAATAGAATAGTAAATATAGCTTTCTCTAGGTAGGAGTGTCAAAACTTTTGCCTGGTACTCTTTATGAAAGGTTGATAGCATCCTGTCATTCTATGCAGACATACCAAAACAAAAGGAAATCACAAACGAGTAGAAGAACTTGTCCCTTCCTTAGTCTGCCAGCGTTCAATGGCTGAAGCCGATCTCCTTTGGATTCCTTCCAGTGATTTTGTGGAAAGACGTCGACAGGATCAGTAAAGTCATGCTCCGCTGAGCCTGAAGGCTCTTTGTTTCCTTCTATTACATAATCTCCGCTGTGTCCAAGAGTAACATATAACTGCTTGATGGAGGAAACCTGACTCAACAGAAAGGGTCAGACCTCTGCATGCTGGGATCAGGGTGGTAGCACAGAGTGTCCCGCACTGGAATCGATGCTATCAGCATGTGTCTGACCAACATCAAAGCCTGTCCCAAAGTATCCCCAAGATCCCATCAATGACGCATGCGCCCCATCCATTATCATGTGATGATTCAGCCAATTAAGTGAAGCAAGTGCAGTTCGAAGCCTGGAACACACCAATCTGATTTTAGGCCATGGATTTTAAGCTGTCAGTAGCTGCCTGTCGGGCCGGTGTGTGAGCCACGGTCGGACATGGTTGATCCCCATTGGCCCTGTCTTGGCCAATTGAGTTGTTGAAATGGCATTGAAGCTAGCTGGTGAAACTGAGTTCTCTGATTGTGCCCCAACCGTCACCTCTAGGCATGCCAGTGTACTCCAGAAAAAAAATTCACAATCAACAGGAGAGGATGGGAGCCAATCGTTCACCAACCTTGGTTGGCACTAATGTTTGTTGACTTGTGTACCCAACTTTAAACAGAAGCATTCTTCTGTTCCTTGTTAACGAAGAGATAGCACATTAGTGTTTAATTAGAGGAAAGTAACCTGTACCTGCCGCTGGCATTTTTCTTCCTATCCCATGCCAAAAAACTGTAAATAGAGATGGCCTACACTACAATAATAAATCACACCAGTCTTGGAACTTAAACTGATGATCCAGCAGAATCCATTTGACTAAATTTAAATGCAAGCCCAGAAAAACTTATCTGTTATCTAGATATATGAGCATCTCAATCCCCGCTACAGCAGAACAGAACTTGCACATGTATGTTTGCATTAAAATCTGTGCTGCTTTGCAAACTCCAAAAAAATGAACAGAGCACTACCTCTGTCAATGATTGACACGCTATTGATATTTTAACACAGTGATTAGATGAACAAGGCAGGAGGGAAATGGGAGTTCCGTTAACTTTGCTTCAAGGTGGTAAATGAGAGGTCTAGTGCATGTAAATAAATCTGATCCTCGTTCAAGGCCGTGGTGTCCCCTTCATGTTGAAAAATACCTGCAACCAGGTGGTTCTTTAATTGACAAAAGCACCATAATAATGGTAATTATTGCTTCCATTCAGATGCTCAGAAACTTGATGACAATTCCAGATTGTCACGTCTTTACACACTGTCAGCTTATAATCTGATTTAGCCGTGCACCTCGCATCCGTGTGCAAAATAAGCAGAGGCTGAAATATTCTATCACTGCCAATTACATGTAATATTAAATGATTATTAACATTTGTGCTATTTTATCAATTCTAGGCAGGGACCCCTTGAAAGCATATCATACCGGACCTCCAAGCCAGACCAATCCAATTACATTCTAAATTATTTAAGCCCAATGTCACTCATGGGCCCTTGAAATCATCCTAGCCCCCCCCCACCCCCCTTTACAGCCTTCCTTCTTCTTAGCTTTCATATAAATAAAGAAAGGCTTTCAGCACAAAGAATATCTCAGAAAGGTGTGCCTGTCTTTTATAGAATGTATTGTATTTAAAGCTGAACCTGGCAGTTACTTATGGAAAATTGATTTAAAATTCATGCCCAAACGCGATGCAGCACGACTAGTCAATGATTGGCTGTGGAGTGAAATAAACATCAGTGTTATGCTGAAGTTAGCATACATAGGTTGCACCTCAGGACTTTTCTTCAGTGCCAAAATGACAGGTGGCCTCTATTGTTCTGTCAATGTTCCTTAAAATCACTAAAACAACATGTAATTATCGGTAAACTGAAACTCGAAGCATGACGCATTTGGGTAACTGCAGTTTCTTCTTGCGTGTCAACCATTACAAGAGCGCGCATGGCGAGGCTCTTACTTAATGCAAAATGACTTCAAATGACTCCTGTGAAACTGCCTGGTGCGAAAAATTAAATAAGCATTTCATACAGAGACAGAACCCATTTCAAATCCACAGTCAGGGCTTAGAATTTGCTTTGTCGCGTTTGACCTGAATTCACACTACATTGCCAGGATATTTATTTTATTCAATACACTCCCTAACACTATATATACACCAAGCTTGGTACAATAAACTGCATGTGTCTATGTGAGTGTGTTTCTATCAAAGCCAGTTGTCACAACAAGCCAGTTATGCTTCTTCTAAACCCCAGAATATACACAGCTCATACTGTCCCACATCCTGAAGAGTACAACTGTAAAGTTGTTAAGTAGTTGCATAAAAATATATACATAAATAAAAGCCACACCACTCTCCTGTATTGACGCTGAAGGCACAGTCAGCTCTGAGGCCTGGGACTGTTTGCTGAAACATCATTGAAGTTTGGGCTTCCGTTCTGCCATCACTTTTCCAGCCAGCAGGGGGTGCTTGACTGATGTCCCAGGGACACGGCGAGAACTCCTGCCCCTCCTCTGACGGCTTGACACCTCATTGGTTTTGGGATTGTGAATTATGCTGGCCAGAAAGCAAGGAGATTTAAGGAGAGGGTACTAGTCCTGACACGCAAACGCCGTGCATCACACTTGTTCACCTCAACTCCAGCCCACCTCCCATACAACTAATTAGGCCCCTCGTGGGGGAGTCAGAAGGAGGGAGCCAGGAGTAAGGCCCCCACAGGTCTCCAAAGGTAATTACAGAGCACATGACAAAGAGGAAGAAAGCGAGAGAGAGGGAGAGAGAGAGATGAAAAAAAAGAGAGAAAAAAATTGTGGAGAGAACACGGTCCAGGACCCTCTTCCATTTCATGCACTAGGACTGAACATTCCTGTGAACTAAAGGCACAAAAAATGTGCACTCAGGTAGAAGAGAACACAGGACTTCACAGGAACATTTCTCCATAGCGCCGCAGAACTGGTAGCTTTGATCTTTTCCTCCGTCTGAGCAGAACTTGAGTAACTGAAAAATGCCACGGAGGATAAAAGGAGCCAGGAGTCTATTTCGGCTCAGTCCAACTCAATTCAAATTACTTCCACTTTTTAAAATTCTACCATCAGTATCTAGCATATTCAGGAAAAATATCTCTAGTATGAGCTCTCCTTAAAACTAGATCAATGAACCCTCATAATGACTGTTCACATGTACAAGGTCAAAAGCCATATGTGCAATATAACCTTTTCTCAAGAACAGCAGCAGCTTAGAAACCGAACTACACTGTACTGCCCGCTCAGAGACTTCTGCTGCCACTTTGTGTGAAAGGGAGAATAGGAAGGGAAGCAGAAGCCAGGGAAAGACACTGGGTGAGGCTTGAATGGGCTTGCTCAGATTCATGTTGTTTCAGTCCTGGATGCCTCCGACAGCCCCGAAGCAGCAGGAATACAATGCGTCCCTTTGACTGGAAAAGAACAAGCCCATGGAAAATGCTCAAAAAAATAAATAGAGAAAGAAAAGAAATTATCTGTTCCAGCTTTAGATCTGGGAGGGGAGGTCAAGGTAAGAGCGACTGCAAGGAGGCAACCTTAGGTAGGCACTAGAATGTGCATCGAGTAGCAGTTTTAATTCAGGGGGATTGGGGGGAATGCATATGTGACCGGATGATGGCACAAAGTGAAGTACAACATCATTACACCTTGGTGAACTTGGTCGTGTGGCCAACGTTGCGAGACAGAATTCTGGAAGACTGGACTAGGGCCACCACCGGGGGGAGGGGGGGGACGGAGATGAGATGGGTATATTCTCCTGGTGACATGTGATAACCAGCAATGAACAGGTCGATTTGAGTAGTGGAGAGAAAATATAAGCAAGTCATTATAAGCAGCCATTGCGATGACGTAATGGCAGGTGGAGACTGTGGGGGTCCCTGCTTGGATCCTCATTGGCTGATGTTTTGTTGTTCATCACGCCTTCAACGCCACTTGGTCAAATTTGTTCCAACTCTTCCTGGCAGAATTTTCCAGACAGGCTTCGCTCCCTCCGCAGCATCTCACGGTGACGGTACGGGAGGCCGGTTATGGAACTCCGTGTCCCGGGATTCCTCGCTGCCTGAGCCTCTTCGACGAGATATGGGGATTAAGGCAGGCTATTGTGGAACCTCCTGCGGGTTCCACAAAACGCCCAGCATCACCCAGCATGTTTCTATCTGTGCACCACGCGGAGGGCTCGCAGGTCTCCGTGTCGGGTCACTCTTCCTGCCTTCCCTGGGAGAACACTTCTCTTCAGAGATGTGACCTATTTGTTTCAGGCCACAAAAGGGCCAGATTACTTCTTCCTGTTTCCACTAAGACCTGGACAACATCCACACACGTACCTTTCTGTGTAAGCCAGCGAGACCTCGCTTCCAATGATCATTCAGTGCGACTGACATTTCCTTAAAGTAATCCAATAAAGACTGTGAAAGCATGCTTGTGCACTTATTTAGACCAGATTGTTTAATTGCTTAGCAAGCACTTTTATCCAGAGCAGCCAAAATAGGCTGTAATCTTTAAAGACTGTTAAAGACAGATGCATCCATTTAATTGTGTTAAGTACTTTGCTCAAGGCAACAACAACAAGATGAATTAAACTGGCAACTTTCTGGTCCATTCCATTACCCTTAATGCCCAAAAACACGTCGTGATAAAAGAAATTAGCCAGCCTGTAGTAAACTTTCCAGCGAATTCACATGAAAGTAGGTCAAACTTCAAAGGTTCGCCATTCCAGTCATTGCTAAATCCTATTACCTTGTTTCACTTTATTTCCTTGGAAAGTCATAAAAGTCATGACATTAAAGTCAAATCCATTTTCAACTGAACTTCTAAGAATGCTATGGGTTCAAAGCAATTAATTCTATCAGAATTCATCTAAAAGGTCACGGTTTCACTGGGTCTCATTTTTATCTCACCCTGGGCTCAGCGCTCACTATAGTGATCTCTAAGATCTGGTGCAACTATCATAAAAAGATCATTTTTCAGGGAATTTCAAATGGTTAAGGTAAACTCCCAAAGTTAACGGCTCTACTCAAAGTGATATGCCTTTACAGAGGCTGATCCTGGCTGGCATGCTGGTACTTTAGAAGTCAACACACAGAGAAAAAAAATCCAGTGTGTGTTTGCTCTTCTTGTGGGAGGGGTCGATTTAGGTTACAGCGTTTAAGGGGCGGCAGTTCTGCCTCCCGGTGCCAAAAGATAGATCTGTTAGCGAGCTGGTGGCCGCATATACGCAAATCGCAAGCGCAGTCTCCCTTACTTGTATTATAAGTTCACTACCGACATGTAATTTAGGCTACTAACACGTGGGGGAAAGGGGGAAATAGGGAAATCCACTAGAGATGGACAAATCTGAGAATGCAAGATTTAGTTTCAATTATTATTATTATTAGTATTATTATTATTATTACTAATACTACTGCTGTTGATTTTTTTTGTTACTGCTGAATACTGGGACTGTGTGATAGCAACAGTACAATGTTATAGAAGCAAGCAAAAGAGCATCAAAGGCTAGCACGAATATTATTTAGTGCTTTTTAAGTCAGGTGCATTCCTTTCACATTTTTCAGAATATGTTAGAGAGTACAGGCGTCATGGGGGCAAATTCTGTATTACACATCGAAAGAAAGTAACAATGCAAATGCATAGAATTAATGCGCAAAATATGAATGAATGTCAGGATGGAAATAATAAGGCTCAGTGATTGCCCAGATGTGAGATGCATAGCTTGGGTAACTCACCACTCTGCTCGGGGTGATCAACACTTCCCAGGGGCTCTGCCTCCACTTTGCGTCCGCATCGTCCGAGACCTTTCACCAGCTGCTCCAGGGGCAGCTCCGAGTCCGGCTTCGGGTAACAGCGTAGCCCGCTGGAGCATCTTGGGGTGTAGACGCCGCACAAGTCGCCCTCCTGTCGGGCGCAGACTGGACAGCAGCCGCAGCCGGGCTCCCGCACGATCTCCGCACAAGTTTCCGTGAGCTTCGGGCATGCAGCCTGCCTCTCCGCGGTGCAGCTCGGGCAGCGAAAAACCACCTCCCCGATCAAGGTGGCCGGAAACGCCAGGGATGCCAGCAGCACGCTGCAGCCTATGTACGAGAGCATATTCGCTGGTGGCAGAGGGACTAATGGATATGGGCTGGAGGGGGCAAGTCCAGGTGGAAAAGTGCCGCTGTGTATGCGAACAGGTGAAGTCTCAGGGAGGTGTCCGCGGGGTCCTACCGCCTTCCCAATTTCACTGACATCATGCAGGAAGGCAGGGCTCCGCAACGCAATTTTATTCTGGATCCTTAAGACATGCATACATTTAGAACAGGAGTTAATTTCGGCAAGATTATTATTATTATTATTATTATTATTATTATTATTATTATTATTATTATTATGTAAAATGAAACCACAATAGTACTGATACAAACAATTACAAGACTAATAATGCACGTGTAAATTTAAAAAGTCAAAATATGAAATATTTAGTAACAGATAATGATATTTTATGACCTTTTGATGTAATTTGCTCGGGAAGTATAGACTAGAAGCATTTCTACTAGGTCTTGTTCTTGCATGAAACTTGATAACATACTAGCCTATTACCATTCTGAATTTCCTGAATTTCAGAATACTGTAGATTGAAATTAATGGATACATATAGAAAATTGTATATAGCAGTTTTTTAAAAAATTAATTATTGGATGTTTTGGAGTTATTCCGTCTGCAAGGAAGCCGTGTGCTATTTTCTGACTTGAAATCCCAAAAATAAATCGATAAACAGCACACGCTGAAAGATGCTGTGTTATGTGTGAATATGCCCCTTACACATCTGTCAACACTCCATTAAATCTGCACACTGCAGCCGAATTGGGTCCTTGGTTCTGTGTTCCCTATTGATTACTGTGGCGGAGAGCGGAGGTGTCACGCGAGCCCCCTAAACAAGCCCCCATTAAACCACAGTGCCCAGCAGTCTGACGCGGTTGCCCCGGAGACTAATAGCTGTTGATTTAAGGATTCAGAAATAGCCACTCAGTGTGTAATCTAACGCCCTCCAGCAAGCTACAAGATATAAATGAGGATTATTTTGTTTTGTGGGTGCTTACTGATTTTATAGTATTTATATTTATATTTATATTTATGGTATGCAGTTTGTTTTACCTTAGAAGATTTATTAGAAGGAGGCACTTTTTAGAAGCCAGTTTTAGAAGGAATTTGGATCCAGTGGGAATGTTTATGCAGAACCGTATATATGTATATATCTGTTATTTAAAATAGTGTGTTCCAGCGTGGAGCTGCAGTTTTATAAATACAGATTATAGACCGACTGGTCAGTATCATTATAAGGAAAATGCTCTCATATTTAGAAAGTATTAGATGTCTTATCGCTAATGGAATTCCGATTTTTTTTAAGGAATGTGTAGAAATGTATAGATTTGATCACCATAGATAAATGGTAGGGCTGTTATTCATATTTGTAGCTGACCTTCCTCAAATAACATAAGTAATTCTGACTTGCGTTCTTTAAAAATTTTATATATGGTTTTGAAGTTTTTTTTTTTTAATTTTTAAACTATTTAGCACTGTCAGATGTATAATGAATGTCTCCATGGACATTAGTGTTAAATTTGCATTTGTGATGAAGCATTTACAGAGCAATATCACTTGTTATATTACCTCGGAGCAGTTTTATCTAAAGATCATTCAGTGTGTAGGCTACCCCAGCCTCATGCCCTGTGCGTGTTGGGATATAGGCTCCCCCCACAGCGCTGACCATTCTAGGTAGTTGGAAGATGATCCAGGTCTGCCAACATTGTACCTGGGCGTTCATTGGACGCTCAGCCCAGCTACACCTAACCCTAGTCAACTCCTTGACAACCGTATGTTTGTGTTATTCACCCGCTTTGGACAAAAGCATCCGGCAAATGAAATTAATTGGATGAAACAAAGATGCGTCAAATTCATCTGTTTTTGTCCTGTGAGGGACCTTAGGGGTGTCGGAGGATTCTGGGAGCCACAAATTGACGGAGGCCCCCCACCCATCCCATACTCATCAAAATCTACCTTGGGGAGGGGGGAGGGGGGCAAGATGACATTTTGCCAGAATGCTCACTATTCCTACTTATGCCTCTGCCTGAGTGTCACCTGTTGCTTTTTTGTGTGCAAGTACCACAGATTTAAATACAACAGGTATTACACAGAGTCCATTTGGTCTGTGTCCAACGCTAACAGGCTTTGCCAGTACTGAAAATCTGTTAACAGTCCTCTTGCAAGAGTTCCAACTCTATAGCCCTCATTAAATGTGAGGCCACCTTTAATGTCCTTTGTTGGGAATGCTTAAGCAGACTTTGCAGCTTTACAGATCGTCAGAGCGACGCTGCCTTATTTACATCTTACCCTTCCAATAGCAGCAGGCCATTGAAGCTCGTTCACTCCAAGTAGAGAAGGAGATCCAAGGCATGTTGGGAGATTTATGTTCCTATTTGTTGGAGGAGCATAGTTTCTGTCGATGTTATCATTGGAAGACTTTAAATTTAGATATTTTCTTTACTTTGTGTTTTTGGGTAAGGCACAAACAGAGGGAAAATAACTAATTTGCATAATGTGAAGAGTGCCACAGGAACAGGCTAAGACTCTGCACAGCAGGGGATAAACAAACAAAGGGGTTTATTTTATGAAAACACAATACAAAAAAT